TAAATTAAATTTTAAAAATCCTCTTGCAATCACTCCCCTGACATACCCCCTTCCTTAAGCTCCACTCTCGGTTATTTTTTTTATTTATTGTGATTACTTCAGTAATAAGATTTGTTTGCTTGTTGTTATATATGTTGCTGTGCCGAGGAAGAAACAAACAAACAAAAAAATAATAATAGCCCAAAAGAGTTATGTTTCTTATTTATCTCCTTGGCCGTTATTGGGCCACGGGGAGGGGTGGGGAGCAGGGAGAAGCTGTAAATAGAAGAGAAAGTGTATCCTGCAGAGTGAAGATGTATAGGAGCAAGCAGGAAGCAGGGCAGGGAGGGAATACGGCTAATAACTCAAAAGAGCTCGATGACTCCGAGAGATAAATAAGTAAGGAAAAGGCGGCCTGGAAGTCGGGATGGGGAAGGTGGATCCACATCACCAAGGTGTCTATGGAGCTTTTCTTCGATTTTCCTATTTCTAAACTCTGCCCTGCTGAGCAGGAGGGTCCAGAAATAGAGAACATAAGAGTCCCAGGCAATTCCTCAGGGCCCAGCCTGGAGGCGCAGTTCCTTCTGGTTCCTGGAGGGGCGCACTTTCCAAAGAACCCTAGCTTCTGTGGGTGATGCAGGCCGGGCACACCAGGGAGGCAGTCCCTAGGCTAGGAAGACAATCTCTACCAACCATGGGAACTGCTCATTACAGACTCTCCTCCCGCCCCCCCCCCCTGCCCCCCGTAGTCCCCAAAATGCCCTTGGAGACCCCTGAAGCTGGTTACAGGCTGGCTTCTAAAAGACGAGAAGCGAGGTTTCTGTTCATTCCAACGGGACGACAAAATCCTTTTAAACAGTACATGTGAGTGAGTGAGGAGGGACAGAGGCATCCGCTGAACTCCTGCAGTTCCAAGTTTTCTCTCCCGCTGTACATTTTATATAATCTTTTCAATCCTATACCCATTCCATAATTTTTAAATCACAGTCCCGAGGGCAACCAAAGCTTTAGTAAGATCAGTATAGATAGAAGTACTATCCTGTGGTATGTAAGGTAAGCTGTATTTCAGTTATATGATAATACTAGAGGCCCGGTGCACGAAATTCGTGCACTTGGGGTGTGGGTGTGGGGGGTCCTCTGCCCGGATTGTGAGAGGGCACAGGCCAGGCCGAGGGACCCAACGGTGCATGATCGCAGTCAGGGAGGGATGCGGGAGGTTGGCCAGCCAGGGAGGGACCATGGGAGGGCTCCAGGGCATGTCCAGCCTGTCTCGTTCAGTCCCCATCAGCCGGACCCCAGCAGCATGCTAACCTACCAGTCGGAGTGTCTGCCCCCTGGTGGTCAGTGCATGTCATAGCGAGCGGTTGAGCAGCCTTAGCATATCATTAGCATAGTACGCATTGATTGGTTAAATGGCCGATCAGACGACCGGACACTTAGCCTATTAGACTCTTATTATATAGGATATAGCAAATATAATCCTACATATAAAGGAGCCTTCCTGACCTTCGAGTGTGTCCCTCCCTCTGTAGAATTTCTATCCCGCTGCCACACCTTACCCTGGGTTGCTTTGCAAAACTGAGAAGCAGAAGCAGGAAGGGGACGGTCAGGCCTGCATGGCTTGCACAAAGAATCACTGAACTCCCCCAGAAAGCATTGCGAGGAACCCCTACTTTGAGACTTGCTCACAGTGCAGAGCATTTTCAAAGTACAAGAGTACTGGGTCAGGGGACTAGTTGGCAGAGGGGCAGTGGTTAGGGCTCACCAGCCCCTTCATATGTTGCCAAAAAAACAAAAGACAAAAAAAAAACCGAAAGTGGAGAGGGTGAGTCACTTGCCCAAAGCCGCACGGCCAGAAAGAGGCTCATTCGGACCGAAGCTTGGAACTTCGGCGCGCCTGGCGCGAGATCCTCAGGCGAAAACAAAAGCGCTGGGCACAGCAGGGAACAGTGCGTCCTGAGAAAGGCAGCCAGGCCTTGCCACGGCACCAACAGCAGCGGGCAGGGCTCTCTCTCTGTGTCACAAATGGAAAGCCAATAACAACAGAAACAAAAAGAAAACACAAAAAAACACGTCTGGAAGGACATGGAAGGGTCCATTGAAAGGAAGTGCTGGGAGTGAGGACACTGAAAAGAGAGATGTCCAGCCCGGCCGGCGTGGCTCAGGGGTTGAGCGTCATCCTACGAACCAGGAGGTCACGGTTCGATTCCTGGTCAGGGCACAGGCCCGGGTTGCGGGCTCCATCCCCAGTAGGGGGCGTGCAGGAGGCAGCCGACCCATGATCCTCTCTCATCATGGATGTTTCTCTCTCTCTCCCCCTCTCCCTTCTTCTCTGAAATCAATAAAGATATATATATATATTTTAAAAAAGAATTAACCAATGAATGCATAAATATATGGAACAATATGGCCAGCTGGTGTGGCTCAGTGGTTGAGCGTCATCCCATGAACCAGGAGGTCACGGTTCGATTCCCGGTCAGGGCGCATGCCCAGGTTGCGGGCTCCATCCCCCAGTAGGGAACGTGCAGGAGGCAGCTGATCCATGATCCTTTCTCATCATGGATGTCTCTCTCTCTCTCCTTCTCCCTTCCTCTCTGAAATCAATAAAACTATTTTTTAAAGAGATGTTGAATGGGAAACTGAGAAAGAATAGATACCCGTCTCCCTCTCCTCCCGCCTGCAGCCCATTTCTTCCTCCTGGAGGGGAAGGCATGGAGAGACCAGATACCAGACGTCGCGCGGCCAATGAGAGAACAAAGCATTTAACCGAACGACAGCCATTTCCCCCGAGGGCCTCAGCCTCTACTTGATCAATGATCCTGCAACATTGAATCGGTTTTAATTTAATGCTTCTGGGAAGGAAGTGTCTGTGGGGGGTGGGGGGCGGGGGGGGGGCGGTGGGCGAGCCCAGCCACTGCAGGCACAGTGAGTTGGCAAGAGCTGGGATTAGCGTTTGGCAGCATTTATCCTCGTCGCTGTTTATGACGGCATAAATTAGGTTTATGCTGATGGAATTAATCACCCTAAATTTAGGAATAATAAATAGTCGTGTTTATGCGGAGTGGCGATGTCGGAGGGAGGCGAATGGAGCAGGCACGCACCGGACGCTTGGTGTGTGCGGTTGTGGCAGCAACGGCCGGAGAGCAAGGAAGCCCTTGGGTCGAGCTCCCAGAACTCCTGGCCGAGCCCCAGACATGGTTTAACACTATGCAAACGATTTAGCAGCAGGACCTGATGAGTTCCCAGAGCCAATAAGTTTCCTTTAAATATATACATACATATATGTGTGTGTGTGTGTATATATATATACACACACACACACATATATATACATATACACACACACACACACACACACACATACTTATTGATTTCAGAGAGGAAGGGAGAGAGGGAGAGACATATCAATGATGAGAGAATCATGGATCGGCTGCCTCCTGTACGCCCCCTACTGGGGATCGAGCCTGCAACCTGGGCATGTGCCCTGACCTCCTGATTCATAGGTCGATGCTCAACCACTGAGCCACACCAGCCAGGCAGCTGAGACTTTGAAGCCCTTCAGTTGGGAGATGTTACACGCTCCCGGGAGTCTCAGACCTCTGGGTGATGATGTGGCCATTCCCTGTGGGTTCCCCTCTCCGTAACGGAACGCTAGGATTTCCAAGTCCCTCTCGGCCAAAATGGTGTGGGTGACCCGAGGGACCTGGGCGGCTCCTGGGCGCTGCGATGAAAGATGCTCTCTACGTAAATAGGGTCATTTTAATCATAATTAACAGCAGGCGGTGATGATGAACGGCACTGTCACTGAGAAGAGGCTGGCCTGCGTGCATGGGGGAGCCTGAGGCATGTGGCCGAGCCAGGAGGAAGCTCAGGGACTGAGGCCACACCAGCCTTCCAACCAAAGACCTCCGTCAGCCCGGCCGGTGTGGCTCAGCGGTTGAGCATCGACATAGGAACCAGGAGGTCACGGTTCGATTCCCGGTCAGGGCACATGCGGGGGTTGTGAGCTCGATCCCCAGTAGGGGGCGTGCAGGAGGCAGCCGATCCACGATTCTCTCTCATCGTGGATGTTTCTCTCTCCCTCTCCCTTCCTCTCTGAAATCAATAAAAATATATTTAAAAAAATAAAATGGGGACCCTCTTCCGACAGGCCTCAGAGACACTGGGGTCATCGTCCCCGCCGCCCTCTCTGAAGGCAGGTGGCGCCCTGACAGGAGAAACCCTACACAGGTCTCTCCTCCAGCTGTTTCTCAGTCACTTCACTCCCAACCACTCCACGGCCATTGTTCACCCCTTCGGCCATCCCCGTTTAGATAAGGCGACACCCTTCCTCGAGCTGCATCCAAACTGCCATCCAATGCAACTGAGAATCAAGATTCCTCTGCAATAAAGGTTAAGGGCGTCAAGGAAAGCACTGGCTGACCCGTGCAGAAACCACAGTGCTAGCCCGGGCTCTGCCACTCACCCACCATGCACCTGGGCAAGTCACTGGATTACCCTGGGCACCGGCTTTCTCCTTTTTAATAGAAAAGTGTGGAACGGAATGCTGTCTAAGGACCCCTCTGGCATGAACTGCCTATGGAGCAATAGACCTTTCTATTTAAAAAGCTCTGAGACGGCCCGACCGGTGTGGCTCAGTGGTTGAGCGTCAACCTAGGAACCAGGAGGTCTCGTTTCCATTCCCGGTCAGGGCACAGGCCCGGGTTGCAGGCTCGATCCCCAGTTGGGGGCGTGCAGGAGGCAGCCGATCCATGATTCTCTCTCATCATTGACGTGTCTATCTTTCTCTTTCCCTTCCTCTCTGAAATCAATGACTATATATTTAAAAATAAATTAAAAAAATAAAAAACGATGAGACCGCATCAGTGAAGAATAGATAGTGTTTTGTTCCAAGCACTAAAAGCCCGGGAGAAGGTATGCCTGCCAGGCCTCCTCCGATCACGCCCCACACCGGATGAACCCACAAATGCGTTACTATGGCAACGTCAGCGTGAGGGCGGTGGGGCCAGCGCCCCACGTACTTGCCATTGACGACCCCATCAGGGTTGAGCATGGGGATGACCTTGAAGATGAAGTTTTCCCTCAGGAGCCGGGCCCCGGGGTCACTGCTGACCAGGAACTCCAAGGCCCCCTTCATCACCCAACTGGCGTTGCTTTCTCCCGGGTGGACGCGGGCCGTGATCACCTGGTACGGACGCTGCCCTGTCGGAAAAAAACAGACGAAGGCAAACTGAACCTCGATACGCTTCCCACTTCCATCAAGACGTCCCCATCGGCCCCCTAGAGGTTACCCTGGACCATCGTGACGTCCGAACTAGGTCCATTGTCTCTAACACACATCTGACCCGCATCTATCCTCTTCCACCTGCTTCTAGGGCCGGCGAGACTCGAGAGCGGATGTAAGTCAAAGCTCAAGGCTGTTATGAAAAACGTAAATATTTTTGCCTGTCCAGCATATGGCTCAGGGGTTGAGCGTCGACCTATGAACCAGGAGGTCAGGGTTCCATTCCCACTCAGGGCACATGCACAGGTTGTGGGGTCAGTTCCCAGTAGGGGGTGTGCAGGAGACAGCTGATCCATGATTCTCTCTCATCATGATGTTTCTATCTCCCTCTCCCTCTCCCTTCCTCTCTGACATCAAAAAAAATGTATTAAAAGCAAAGCAAAACAAACAAAAACACACACAAAAAAATGTACATACTTCGAGACATGAGAAGAAGCTAAGAAGCAGATTTAGAAAGACCACCAAAAAAAGAACTCTCCACAGTGGATGTCATGGATATGGGAAGGATTCTCCTCTTCGTCACTACCAGCTGTGACACGAAGACAAATGACCTGATTCCTCTGTCGCTATGTTAGCATCTGTAAAATGGGGACAATCATATTGACCTCCTGTGGTTGTTATAAAAACAGGAGGATGGCCCCGGCTGGTTCCCCTCAGTGGTGAGAGCGTCAGCCCTCGGACTGAAAGGTTGTGGGTTCGAATCCCCGTCAAGGGCACGTACATCAATTGCAGGCTCGATCCCCAGCCCCAGTAGGTGCCCATGCGGGAGGCAACCAATTGATGTGTCTCTCTCATATCAATGTTTCTCTCTCTCTCTCCCTCCTCCCTTCCACTCTCTCTGAAATAAAATAAAAATCAATGGAAAAAATATCCTCGGATGAGGATAAAAAAAAGAAAACAGAAAGGTATAAATGTCATATTCTTGCCATTCCCTACATGTCAGTTCCCCGCCTTGCCAATTACAAAGTCTGTGGGGGAGGTGATGCTTGTTATTCCTCAGTAGAAATAAGAGTCATGTGCACAACGTGTATTGGGAATTTTTGCCTGTTGGACACGGAGCCCCATCCTCGAGAGATTTGACAACAGAGTGAAGCACCTCAATTTTAGGCTCATAATAGTTTCTTCAATTTGCAAAGAGAATCATTGACGCTTTTTTAAAAAAAATACTAGAGGCCCAGTGCACAAAAATTTGTGCACTCAGGGTGGAGGGGAGTCCCTCAGCCTGACCTGTGCCCTCTCGCAGTTTGGGACCCCTCGGGGGATGTCCACCTGCTGGCTTAGGCCCGCTCCTCGGGGGATCGGGCCTAAGCTGGCAGTCAGACATCCCTCTGGCAGCCCGGGAGCCCTCGGGCGATGTCCACTTGCCAGAGAGGAAGGGAGAAGGATAGAGAGATAGAAACACCAATGATGAGAGAGAATCATTGATTGGCTGCCTCCTGCACACGCCCCCAACTGGGGACCAAACCCGCAACCCAGGCATGTGCCCTGACGGGGAATCGAACCTGGGACCCTTTGGTCGGCAGGCCGACGCTCTGTCCACTGAGCCAAACCAGCTAGGGCTCACTGACGCTTTGACCTCTGTCTCCCTCTCTCTGAAATCAATTTTGAAAAACAAACAAAAAAAGCCAGTAAGATTTTTTTTTTCAATTAAAAAAAAAAAGAGTCTATGATGGTTTTTCATCAGGAAAAAACACATTCCAAAGAGCATGCTCCTGAGAAATAATCCCGACATCCTTGCTCAGAGCGCCTTTGTTGAATCAGAGGCAGGAGGGCCCGCTGCTATAGACAACAACCTTACAAGCCACGTCTCCAGAGTTCAGGCTCCTGCCCACCATTTTCTTTCTTTCTTTTAAAAACAAACCAACATGCCAAAACCGGTTTGGCTCAGTGGATAGAGCGTCGGCCTGCGGACTGAAAGGTCCCAGGTTCGATTCCGGTCAAGGGCATGTACCTGGGTTGCGGGCATATCCCCAGTGGGAGATGTGCAGGAGGCAGCTGATCGATGTTTCTCTCTCATCGATGTTTCTAACTCTCTATCTCTCTCCCTTCCTCTCTGTAAAAAATCAATAAAAAATATATTTAAAAACAAACCAACAAAAATTATTGACTTCAGAGAGGAAGGGAGAGGGAGAGAGAGAGAGAGAGAGAGAGAGAGAGAGAGAGAGAGAGAGAGAAACATCAATGGGGAGAGAGAATCATTGATCGGCTGCCTCCTGCACGCCCCCCACCGGGGACTGAGCCCACAACCCTGGCCTGTGCCCTTGGTCGGAATTGAACCTGGGACCCTACAGTCCGCAGGCCGGTGCTCTATCCACTGAGCCACACCAGCCAGGGCCCTGCCCCACCATTTCCTACCCGAGATGGGCGACACACCCTTCTCAAGAAACTGAGTATTGCGTTGGGTGTTCTTCACGTAAGACTCGTGATTTGCTAACTGAACTTACTAAGTAGGCACAGCGGGGGCAGGGCGCGGGGGAGAAGGGCACGGTGGACGTTAACGGAAGGTCAGCTCCCCCCCCCCCCCCCGCCCCCCACTCTCCCGTTTGCTCACAATCCCTTTTTCCGCCTTCCGGAGCGAGCAGTATTGGCACGCCAACAAAAGGGCTGCGCAGAATAAAGAGGCCTGATGAGTCAGTGCTGATCAGTAGCCTATTTTCAGTTCTGTAATTCCACAGCTCGCTCTGTGGGTTTTGAACTAGGTTCATTTACAGCCCATTGAGCGACACTGGGAAGTACTCTCCGCCCGACAAGGAGAAATTAAAAAAAAAAATAGCTTAAGCTGCTGTAAATTCTCAACGCCGCAGCCCGCTCTCCTTTTTGGACCGTCGCCCGCCCCCCTCCCGCCACCCCCGTGCGTTAGTCAATAAGCTCAAGGCTGCCCTTACAAATCGGCGTCAACCATAACTTGCCTTTGGAGGGTCAGGCGGGTCATCTGCTGTGTTGTAATGCGCCCCACCACCTAGCACAGCGGTTCTCAACCTGTGGGTCGCGACCCCTTTGGCGGTCAAACGCCCCTTGCACAGGGGTCGCCTAAGACCATCCTGCCTATCAGATATTTACATGACGATTCATCACAGTAGCAACATGACAGTGATGAAGTAGCCACGAAAATAATGTTATGGTTGGGTCACAACATGAGGAACTGTATTGAAAGGGCCAGAAGGTTGAGAACTGCTGACCCAGCAGGCTGCTCTGAGCCTCCTGAAGGTGCGAATGAAGAGAGCCACGGGTTCTCGTGAAGATATAAGCGGCATTCGAGCCATGTCTCGTCGATTTTCCTCTCCTCCTCTGTGTGATTTAAGAGGATTTTGCGGGCATAGCGCTGAGTTAAACTTACGGGACCATTTGGCTGTAGCAGCCAACGGTACCCCAGAGAACCCCTAACAGACAACAGCTGTAAATAGTATGCAACACACACAACATGTGTTTCATTCCGTGTAATGGCCAGTTTCGGTTTTCATAAGTCATCTCTGGCGAGGGTAGGAGAAAGAGGCGTCAGGGATCGGCGTTATTTTCCCTCCGCCATGGATGAAACAGGTCCCAAAAGGCCGCCAAAATCTATGGAGAAGTCATGGTTTCGCAATATTCTAATTCCTTTTTAAAAATATGTATATATTTTTATTGATTTCAGAGAGGAAGGGAGAGGGAGAGAGAGACAGAAACATCCATGATGAGAGAGAATCATGGATCGGCTGCCTCCTGCACGCCCCACACTGGGGATGGAGCCCACAACCCGGGCATGTGCCCTGACCAGGAATCGAACCGTGACCTCCTGGCTTATTGGTCGATGCTCAACCTCTGAGCCACGTCAGATAGGCCTATATTTTTTTTTTTTTGAAACATTCTAATCCTTAAAGCTTCGTATTAGACGTATGTTTGTGGAAATGAGATCTGTTAAAAGCGGTTATAAACGAGTGAAGGACAGCAGAATGCCTGGGAGAGAGAGATTCAGGATCACGGCCAATGAAACAGAGTAAGAACTGAAGACAAGGTATGATCACACACAATCGTGTACCAACGATAGAAACATCCATTCATTTGCTCCTTCCTTCTTTCAACAATATGTATCATTAGCTCCCACTGGCACTTGGCAAGGCCTGGAATTCCAAGAGAAGTAATGGGCTCCCCCTCGGGGAATTAACAGCCCGCTGGTGAGAAGACAGGCACACAGACAATCAGGACCCAACGAGATCAGGGACATCTGTCAGCCCGTCCTCAAAGCACAGTGGAGCGCTCATTAGGCCATTATTGATAACGATGCCAATAGCTGGCAGCGGCTTCAATGTGCATCCCCGGGAACCTAGTTAAGGAAATGATACAGAACAGAGGATGCTATGCAGTCATTAAAGATGGCACATAGCTGGTGGTTGAGCATCGGCCTATGAACCAGGAGGTCACGGTTCGATTCGCAGTCAGGACACGTGCCCAGGTTGTAGCCTTGATCCCCAGTAGGGGGTGTGCAGGAGGCAGCCGATGAATGATGCTCTTTTGTAATAGACTAGAGGCCCGGTGCACGAATTTGTGCATCAGTGGGGTCCCTCGGCCTGGCCTGCAGGATCAGGCCCAAACCCACTCTCTGACATCCCCCGAGGGGTCCCGGTTTGCGAGAAGGTGCAGGCCAGGCTGAGGAACCCCACCCGTGCATGATTGGGGCTGGGGAGGGACACAGACCCGATCGGCCGGACCCCAGCAGCAAGCTAACCTACCAGTCAGAGCATCTGCCCCTTGGTGGTCAGTGGATGTCATAGCAACTGGTCAACCGGTCAACTGTCTGCCCTCTCGTGGTCAGTGCACGTCATAGCGAGCGGTTGAGCAGCCTTAGCATATCATTAGCTTATTACACTTTGATGGGTTGAACAGCCGACTAGACGACCGGACACTTAGCATATTAGGCTTTTATTATATAGGATGTTTCCGT